GGGGCCAGCGCCCTACTCCTCTGAGCCCAGGTGCCACCCATGTCTGTTCATTTTTATAGTCAAACCCTGAAAGTCTGTCCATTAATACTGGCAGGATAGGTAAAGAGAGTGCAATTAAGATTGCACTCTACTGCCTAGGTAAAGGCAGTTTTTGGCTGGGGCTGGGTTTGAACCCACCACCTCCAGCATTTGGGGTCAGTGCCCTACTCCTTTGAGCCACAGGCACTGCCCATGGCTTGATATTTTGGACAAGGGAACTTCTTAATGGAAGCTTAGATATTAGAAGACAACTAAGGAGGGAAGCAGTAACTGAAATTTAGGTGGGCGGGGGGGGGGGAATATATGCCCTCATATCCTGGGGTACTTAAACTATATGAGGAAAATTGGGCAGCTCAGACCCAACATGATGCTAAAGAGAAACATGAGGCTGATGGGAGAGTAGTAGAAATTTAATACTGGTTAGAAAATGCCGGTCTAGGCTGGGCGTGGTGTCTCACGCCTGTAATCCTACCACTCTGGGAGGTGGAAGTGGATAGATTGCTTGAGCTCAGGAGTTTGAGACCAGCCTGAGCAAGAGTGAGACCCCTGTCTATAAAAACAAAAACAAATAGCAGGGTGTTGTGGTGGCACCTGTTGTCCCAGCTACTCTGGAGGCTGAGGCAAGAGGGTCACTTGACCCAAGACTTTGAGGTTGCTGTGAGCTATGATACAATGGCACTCTACCTAGGTGACAGAGGGAGATTCTGTCTCCAAAAAAAAAAAAAATGTTGGCCAAACCTTTGGAGGTCTATGGAACTAAAAATTTCCTGGACAGTGAGTACCAAGTCTGAGAAAAAGTAATCTGTTGATAGAGAATATGGGGATAAGGGAAGAAAGTGATTGAATTTTGAGGCTGGAGTGAGTCTAATATTGAGGACAGCAGTGATGAGATTAATGTTAATGAAGACTGCATTACAATATGAAGGAGATAGTTAATCAAGTTTTAAGGGAACAATGCAATGACTCCTGAAATAAGAGATTCAATTGGGGCTGGATATTTATGAGAATACCAAAACCAACATTAAGATTGCAGAGGCAGCTTGGTGCCTGTAGCTCAGTGGCTAGGACACCAGCCACATAAACCAGAGCTGGCAGGTTCGAATCCAGCCCCGGCCTGCCAAATGACAATGACAACTACAACCAAAAATAGCCGGCATTGTGGCAAGCACCTGTAGTCCCAGCTACTTGGGAGGCTGAGGCAAGAGAATCTCTTAAGCCCAAGAGTTTGAGGTTGCTGTGAGCTGTGATGACACAGCACTCTACACAGAAACACAGTGAGATTCTATCTAAAAAACGAACAACAACAACAACAACAACAAACTGCAGAGTCAATAGCTTCTGATAGCCGCATAGTCATAGAAACTACATGTTGGAATTTAGGCTGGAAAACGGAGGCCCAGGTTTGGAAGCACAAAAAGGGTTGTGATATTGTGGGGCAATACATCAAATGTTGAGAAATAGGGATCTGTGATTTTGAGAGTAGGGGGAGGAGTCTGTTATGAGGGGATTAGCTGGGGGAAGGATACTGAGTAGTCACTGAAGGACCATATAAGGGAAGGAGATAATAGGGAATGTGTGAATGGGAAACAATGAGATCAAATGTTTGGGAAACACCAGGTCATGTATTGGGATTCAGTGGGTAGTCAATACTAAGAGATAGTAGAGGATCCAATATCCAAGATTTAAAGCTGGAAAATAGTGGGAGATACACATTGTGGTATCTTGGAAATATGATTTTGGAGAATAATGCCACTGCTTGTTGGGGAGAATGGTTGTAAACTGTGGCTATAAAACACAGGCTGACATTAAGGAACAATGGGTATCACACTTGTGGCACTAAAATAAAGTGCAGAGGGGCAAGGTATCAAGGCACATGGTGATATGGGATTATAGGAAGTCAAGGCCCTGATATTGGAAAACACCGAATTTATGAAGATCCAGGCTTGGTGGATTGGGGGGAATTTCAGAGATTAGTCAGGCAACTGTACTGGTCCAGAAGCATCTAGATAATGGAGGTAGGAGGGGACAAAATATGGTGGGGCTATAGGTAATGCTGCAGTGGTATGGTGGCAGACCTGCAGCTGTCGGGGATGGTGGGATTGGATGCTGGTAAACTGTAGGGACCTGACATGGATGAAGCCCCCTGAAGGGTCTGTAGAGCTATTCAGCGGAGGGAGATGCTATATCTTAAAGTGGAGGGATATAGTGAAGATTACCGGGTTATGTTTGGAGCAGACTAAGAAGTTTGGCAGGGGCCACTGCACAGTTGGAAATTAATGGAGAGCTGAATATAGAGGAGACTGAAAAAAGAGGTGATTTATTCCATCACAGGTACCACAAATACAGACATTTCCACGTAAAGTATATGCAGTGTGACAGCGCTGCGTTTTGACATTTAACATTTATGAGTAAACAGAGATGGCAGGTGGCTCACAGTCAACCTGCCAGGGTCGATATTCTGGTATTGACTCTGAGATGACAAACCCCCTGGGGTCAGGTGGCTTTCCAGCACTAACTCTTGTCAATGACAAATCCTTCAGCCCCTTAGTCTTGAGTCCCACAGATCCAGAAAAGCACCGGGCCAAAATGAAGCCTTCCCAGAGTCAAGGACAGCCGTCTCGTGGACTCCAGCCAGGGTCCCCAGAGTCTCATACTGCGGAGCTGGCGAGCTCCGGACCTGCATCCAGGAGGGTCTGCAGCCACAGCTCCCACGACGTCCCTCTCCTCCCGCTATGGATCTCGGCTCTGCTTAGAAGCGGCAGCAAAGTCTAAGGCGGAAAAAAGCACAGTCCGGTTCAGTCCAAGCCCGCAGGGTCGCAGCATGATTCCCAAACAAACGCTACTCACCGTGTGCTGGAGCTGCGCGCTCGGTCCTCCTCCCTTGGCCAGCACCAACTCTGGGACACAGCCGACTCTTCGCGGGAGTGATGCAGCATCACAGGGCTCCGACCCAGCTCAGGGGTGGCTGCCAACCCTCCCCACTGGGCCCCCTCTGGAAGGCCACGGGCCCAGGTCTGGCTCATCACTTACAGAAGGTTGGACGTGCTCTGTGACCCCCAAACACAAAACCATGGGCTTCTTGCAAGTGCCCCCACGTCACAAAATAGTAGGGTACCGGGACATTATCCTAATTATAAACGGGGTTCAATCGCACCTGGGAATTCTAAACGTTGGGGCCTGACTGTGCCCCAGACCCCAACTGCAGGTACAAATAGCACCCTTATTTCATTGTCGGCAGCTCCTTTGGACCTTCCTACTGATGAACAACTGGACAAAGAGAGTGACAACAGGCGATAGTACAACGGAAGAGGCAGCGACAACAGGGAAGGAAAGACGCAAGCACTGAAAGCTAGATGAACGGGGCGCAGCGCTTTTCCAAAACACAAAATACTGAGCCCTTTATTCTCCTTCCCTTCCCGCTCGGCCCTGCGTCCACCCCGTCCCGCCCTAACCACTCAGGCAAGCTGTAAGTGGATATAGGTGAAGATGCAGGAGGTGATGGAGAAGGCGATGGCCGCGTAGATGAAGATGGAGAGGTGAGGAAAATGGTCGAGATAGCAGCCCTCGTCCAGTGGAGGCTCCTCCTCCTTGGGCAGGGGGCGTGCGGCGGCCTTCGAGGTCTGCCCGGCGCGGGCACCCTGCGCCCTCCCAGGGGCGCGCCGACCAGCCTTCCTGCCAGCCGACGCGGACTTGGGCGCGCGGGCTGCGGGGGGTTCTTCCGGGGGAGGTCTGTCAAACAGGCCTTCGGACTCGGGGTCGGGGTCCGGGCGAATTTGCTCGGAACCCCAGGGTTTGCGCTGAAAAAGCCCGTCAGCCATTGGCGTAGAACACGGGCAGATCGGTCAGTTGGGTCTGAGCAGTCAAGTCCAGGCCGGGTGGGGTCCGAGCGCTGTGGGCGGTAGACCCGGCTGCGGCTATATTTCTACCACCTGGGGTGGGGGCGGCGGGGGGCGGAGTCAGCGGGATAGGGGGCCTCTGCAGGGTCTGCTAAGCCTCTCAGCGTAGGAGCAGCTTCCCCTGGCTCCTCCTTCCACCCCCAGCCTGTTGCAGAGGTTGGATCTCCAAGATGCAGCTCCCAACCCTCCCATGCCAAAGTCTGCGCAGCAAGGCTCGTTTCCATGGCAACCAGACGGGTGGCCCGCGGGGGCGGAAGCGCCAGCCGCTAGCTGGAGCTCCGGGGAGCAAAAGGGGACTTGCTTGGCACGCAGGAAGCTGAAATGCAGACAAACAACCAGTCTCCCAGCTGTGTGGGCGCTTCCCCAGGGTTTTATGTTGCCTTTAACATAAAACAAATGGGGTTTTATGTTTCCTTTTTAAAAAATATATATTGTAGGGTTTTCTAAAAGCAATTTTTAATTTTAATGCATGACAAAATTAACACATATTCTTTGTGGAAAACTTGAAAATTAGCAGTGTA